TTGCTTCTCAGCTAGATGGCCGCTTGTTTACCTTCAAGCATGTAAGACCCCTTCAGCACATTTTTAATGCAGTTTTTGTGGTAAAATTAGGTGCCTCAGCTGATATTTGGGGCGGTTTGTACTCGAGTGCATACGGTAAGTTGTGTATTTTGATAATACTCTTTATTTTTCACATTGAACATTGATTTATTGTATTAAAAAAAGATAAGACATTTAAATGCATTTACTAGAAAGCCAATTTATTATAAATATACATCTGAAAATAGGTGAATTGCTACAGATGTTTTTCTGTTTGGCTGTGTTCTCTTACTTAAGTACTACGCTCATAACCACAGTAAAGCATTTGTTTAAGTTGTGTGTATTTTATAAGTTTCATCTCAGGGCCCTCGCAGCTCAGCCCAGGCTTTTGAAACCCTGTGCACGGGCCCCAGTGCCACAAGCTTGCTCAGCTTCCACGCTCTTCTCAAATGGCATGCAGACAGGAAGGACACATTTTAAAGTGAAGGCAGACTCTTAATTATAGGTTTATTTCCTTCTTCAAGACATCTCTAGACTGCTTTTTTCCCCAAGCTTTTGCTTATTAATTTTTTTTTCTTTAAAAAAATTCTCTCATATTTCCAGATATTCTGGTTCTGAACTTTTATTTAAATTAAGTACATGGTCATGAGGAAGAATGCTTAAAAATCACAACTTTTTATAACACCAAATATTCATAGGTTAAATTGAACATTAACATTATACATGCATATACTAAAAGAGGAAGTATAAGCAGTGTGTACTTTCTCTTAAAAGAGATGGGAATTTCTGTGTTGCTTTCTATATGCATTGCTTGTGTCCTAAGATCACAATTTACTAATTTTTCTACTTGTGATATGCATATATTACATATATGATTGCCACCTATGATAGAAAAAGCATTCTAAAAAATAATCTTTACAAAGACAAAAATTGGTTCAGAAAACTAGGAAGAAGGGATATAAACTATTTTTTTACTTTATATGCTTTTGTACTGTCTAATTTTGAACAATGTGCATAACTATAGGGAATATATTTCCATTAGATATGTTTTCAAATTAAATAAAAAATTAAATTTATTAATTTTAAAATAATGTTAGTCACAAGAAATTGCTAAAAGTCCAACAGTATATAGGGAAGTCCTATATGCCCTTCACTCAGGTTTTGAGAGTGCTGAATTTTAAAGAGCTTTTCTAGTTTTGTATTTTTATGCTTTCTGGTTGGTTGTTTTAACTGAGATGTATAGATTTATGATCATTTGAAAGTAGAAATGTTAGTAAGCCAAATTCCAAATTAGAAGTAGGTACTGAGTAAAAGGGGGTCTGGATTTTGGTAAAGTTTGGGGATGATGATATTAGGTCCTGCTGCACTTAGAGTCTGGAGTCAGTCACTCTGAGATTAACTTGCAGTCTGGTTTTCTCTTTGGCCCCTGTGGGTTCAGCAATGCAGGGTCTGCCGTGGGGGTAAGTGGCTGTGTGGAGCAGTCGGTGTGCCGGACCAAGAAGGGGTCAGGGATGCAGACTTTGTTCTCTATGTTGGTGCTTTGGCCACTGAGAGGTGCAGCCACGAAAACATCATCTCTTATGCAGCGTATTGTCAGCAGGAAGCAAAAATGGACAGGTAAGCTTTCCCCTAGAACTTGTTTATAAAGAGCTAATGTGGGAACACTTAGCAGACCCTGCAGATTGCCTGTGCAGTTTACATTTGCCAGATTCCCTCTGGGAGTAAACAGCAGGGCTCCTGGCTTGGAAGGGGTGTGGTGGTGCATAATCAGACTTTACGTTATTAATATAGTAATAGCACTTTTTAGAATGAAAGAGAAAAGGTAAAAAACAACTTCTGACTTTTCCTGCCATTTTTCTCCCTTCCTTAACCTGTCCGTTAAATACTGCCCGGGAAAAGTCTACTGTCAAGAGATTTTGCTTTTGATGTGAATACCTCCTTGAGGAAACATTTTGAACTTTAATTTTAGCACTTTTGTGCTACAGCTATAAGTGTTTCAAATTTATCTAGTCACCTAATTGGCATGTTGTTTGTTATATGTGTCTAAATGAAATTCAGACACCTATTTGTCATTTGCAAAGGATTAAAAAAAATTTACTGTGAATCAGCCTTGAAATGAAGTCGTTATAGATGCAGAAGGTATAACTCTTGATTAAAAGGGGGAATTGAATTTCAAATGCGTAATGGATGTTCTGGAGCCACGGAGGGTGCTCGAACCTCTGAAACTAATGCCCTCCCTGTTCCAATCTCTAAACCATAAACCCAAATTACCCTGTGAAGTCTTCTTCAAACACAACACAACACGCGTTTAGCTTAGCTGGTAGACGGTCTGTCTTGAGCATCATGCTCCTTTAAGAACTGTTTATATGGGATCAAATCGACTAAAAAGATAGAAACTTTAAGGGGGACAATGACTTTATGTTAATGAAGGTGGGACAACTCAGTAGAGAAGGGCGAGAATGGGTGAACAACGTGGAACATGTAGTCAATGTCACTAAATTGTACCTGTAGAAATGGTCGAATTACTGTATGTTACACTGTGTGTATATATTCTCGACAAAAAATTAAAATACACAGAAGAAAAAGAAAGGTACCAGGTGTCTCAGGATGTAGTATAGCAGTCTCAAATATTGGAGAGGTTAGTGTGACTGCTTCATGTACATGCAAGGGCCGCCACTGAGATGTTTACCATCCACCTCTCTGTCCGAAGAATGTGGCTGACTTTTAAGAGATGCTGTTTCTCTTCGGTTGGTGTGTTATTGAGCTACGGCAAGCAAAGCAAAGCACACAGCTTATCTTGTCAACCCTGAAGGTGCGAAGGAGTTAAGCTGTAGTAGGGACATGGAAAGCTGTCGCTCACTGTAATGTTTTGTTAAATTATTGATAGATGAAATCAACTCAGAGTGATAAATTAAAATGAGAAAATTGCTTAAAGACTTTTTTATATTCTGAGAGATATTTTTTGAGAGCCCAGTTTTGGACTCTTAATTCAAACTAAACCATGTGTGCACATATACATGAATACACGTGCACACACCCCCGCAAAATTGTATTTTGCATGTGCTGTTAAGTGTCAATGGAACTTGCAAAATGGAGCTCATAGTATGATTCTACTATTATTTTAAGCAGCTGTTTTAAAATGTAAAATGATTGAGTTGAGTATGCTATGGGAAAAAAGAGATATCATTAGGATTACCATCCATCCTAGTTTGCCTGTGACTGCCCTGGCTTTACCCCTGTCTTCTGGGACCCCCTCCGCCCTCCTTCAGTCCACACTCGAGATGTCGTTGATTGTGGCATTGAGTGGGAGTTGGTGTGGAATAGGCAATTTTCACTTTTCTCTTTATACATTTTTCTAGTGTTACCTATCTTTTCAGAGAATTTGTTTTGTCATGAATGCCACGTGTTAAGATGAAACTTAGGAGCAGAGTGGCAACCCTGCGAGAGCGTGAGAGGAATGTAACACATCTGTGCTGAAGTGGTTCAGATGGGTTCATTCCTTGCAGTTCCAATAACCCTGCACAGGAGTCTCAAATAAGAATTTATAACTGAAAGGCACTTTTCAGTGTCATTCCACTGTTGGCTGTGCCTGTTTATGAGCACCACTGAACTGAAGTAGTTGAAACCTACCCACGGTGACATGGAAGAAAGGTCTGGTGACGCGCTTGCATAGAGATTACCACCAAGAAAACCCTATGAGAACAGTTGTAATCTGAAACATGGAGTTAGCCCGAGTCCAAAAACAAGTCACCTGGTTGGTTTGGCTTGCAACAGGGGAAAAGCAACTTAGGGTAGTTAAGCAAGTAGGACTTCTTTGAAGAAGTAAGAATTCAGCTGTGATCTGAACAGTGATCCTGGATAGGTTTTGTATAAATAAAGAAGTGGGAGGAAAGAGCTTGTATTAGGAAAAAACATGCACTTGGCTGTTGGTTGACACCACTTCAGTAGACCCTGTGTTGTTATAAGAAAGCTTCAGGAATGCAGCTGAAGGACTGTTTTATTCTAGGAAACCCGGGAAGTGTTGTTTAACCCTGGCCGTGACACCCATTTTCTGTTCAGAGATCACTGGCTTCGGTTTGGTAAATGAAGTTGTATTCACACTTTTTCTAGGTGTAAGTCTGATCTTTAGGAGAACACATTTATAAAATATGAATGTAAAGTACGTTAAAAATATAGTGTATGTACGCTTAACTTTTTAATTTAGGTAAATTAATATTCTTTAGGAGTCCCTGGGTGGTGCTATGGTTAAGCACAGGACAGCTCAGTGAAAGCTTGGCAGTTCTCACCCATCCAGAGGCATCTTGGTGATCTGCTTCTGGAGAACCCGTAGGGTTGCCTGGAGGCTGAGTCCGCTCAGCAGCCGCTCAGCCACAAGAGTTCTTTGTGATAAGCAATTCTGTGGTGCAGTGTTAAGCTAGTTGTGGGAGATATATGTGGAGTTCCTTAGCAATATCTGTTTGCCTGAGCTGTTGCAAGACAATTAAGGCAAGTGCATGGTGGAACTGGCTGAAGTACCCTGGATTTTGAGTTTGACCTTGACTAACGGTCAGTCCTTTAGAAGAGAGAGCTATAGCCTCCTGTAGATTCTAGAAGGTGCAGAATATGGAAGAAGATGATGGAAAGGCAAACATCTTTATGGGAATGAGGACAGTGTTGGGACAGGGCAAAGGGATTAAAGAAATGGAGCAACCTTCAGCTACCTGAATGATTTTTGCTTATTGTCTTAGTGTTTGTCTGGCGTCTGTCTATACCTACTTGTCCATTTCTGAAATGCTGAAGTCAGCTACATTTTAACTGCAAGTAAAACAGTGTTAGAATTGGAGTAGTCTACTTAAAAAACTATATTGACATATTTTAAAGATTTACACTAACGTACAGATGGCTTATATCCTTTTGTGAGAATAGGTGTTAATTGGCCATGCTGTAGGAAAGCAGGGTGTCCAGATCTTGAAAGTAAATGATAGTGAAAAGTTAGATGTCATGATACAAATGGCATGGCCATTTAGTGAAAGGTTTTTCTTTCTTGGGGCTGTTTTTGATAGAGAAGTGTGGGTTAGTAAATATTGCAATGAAAATGGATCTGGAATGTAATAAAAAATTCAATGTCTGTTTTAACAGGCCAATAGCAGGATATGCTAACCTGTGTCCAAATATGATCTCTACCCAGCCTCAGGAGTTTGTTGGGATGCTGTCCACAGTGAAACACGAGATTATCCATGCCCTGGTAAATCCCACTGACTACTGCCTCTTCCTCATGCCTTAGCTTCCTGCTCTCATTTTGATTAAATGTATTTCTTTAAAGAGTATGTGGTTTCTTAGATTCATGTTCAGTAAAACTTGATTAAGTTTGACCTCTGCCAAAATAAGAATTTTTAATGATTAAAATAGAGACTAGGTTGAATTTTACTGTCTGAAAAAAGGAAACAAGTAAATCCATTTGGCAAATGGGATTTCTGAGAGATTGATTAAACTTAAAATTTTAAAAGCAGGAATTTAGAAAAATTCACTTGGCCCTAGAATGATAATATATTTCTAAATTTAGAAAGTCCAAATAAACCTTGGTCTCTGAATTTTCAAAAGATACACTAATTTGAACCTTTTCATTTTTTCTTCCTAATTTTTCCAAAATAGTGAACTTTTCCTGTCTGTGAAAGGAATTGAATAAAGTTCCTTAGGCTCCTAAGAAATGCTCTGGACTGATGCCATTCATGTTCTTAGGAAGTAGATGGCAGTAAAATGCCGTGATTGAGAGAGCGATTGGATCACACAGCCCTCACCCCACTCCCCACCCCCAAATCCCACTGCCATCGAGTCCATGCCAACTCATAGTGACCCTATAGGATGGGGTAAAACTGCCCCTGTGCGTTTCTGAGACTGGAACTCTTTACGGAAGTAGTAAGCCCCATCTTTCTCCTTCTTCAGAGGAGGTAGTTTCAAACTGCTGACCTTGCAGTTGGCAGTTCAATGCATAACCACTATGCCAACAGACAGACCTAAGTAAGAAATTTCTTCATTCTGCCATTAAAGATCTGTGGGATCCTGGGCAAATTTTTGTTTGTTTGTTTGAATTTT